TGTCCCGTCTTCGGCAATCTTCTTCAGCTGGCCCATAATTATCGGTAGGCTGCTATCTCACCCTCACATGGATCTCCTCTATACCACCTTGCTCTCACCCTAGTCCAACTTATCGTCTCACATTTGGGTTCCACTGGATGGCCTGGAGCACAATATCACCCAACGGTCTCGCCAGTGTGTGTTCTGTCCATCTCCTCTTCCTTCGGAATATTTGTTGAGCAGTTTGTTCTTCATTGATTCATTCACAGAGTTTGTTGTTGCTAATTCCCTTTGGCTAGCCATCTGATCCTCAGTATAGAGACAGCGAAGGCTACTGTTGATGAAGTTCTGATGTTTATTGAGAATGATTTCAGGGACTCATTTAATTTCTGACCCATACGGAAGAAGTAATGTGACATTAGTGCTGAGAATTTTGTTCTTTGTACTAAGTTCAGCAGATTTCCTGATCGATTTCGTAGTGATGAAGGTCTGCTTTGCTATTCCGGTCCTAGTTCTCACATGCACATTTGCGATGTTTGCAGTTGAAACGATGCTGCCTAGATAAGGGAATGAGGAGGCCTCTTTTAGATTTCCCCCTTCGATAGTGATTGATGCTTGTTGTTATTGGCCAATTACCTTTATCAATTCCATTTTCTCCATCTTAACTTGAAGTACTATTTTTGCTGCCTGCTTCTTCTGCCAATTTGTTGGTTTTAGTCTGTAAATGTTCCAGTTTTTGTGGAACTAGACATAAATTATCCACGAAGTCCAGACCTATTAAAGTCTTCTTAACGGTCCAGCATATTTCTGTCTTCTCGCTCTCCACACACGATGTTCCGCACAAGCCAGCCCACTATAATTAGTAATATCATTGGTGATGATAGGCAGCCTCGTCAAACTCCTGTCTTCATTTCAAAGGCTCCGCTAAGTTATCCTTTGGGGATCACCCGACATGTGGCACTGTCCTATAACTGTTGAATGAGGTTGATAAAGATTTGCAGCACTCCACAGTGTGTGAAGTAGTTATCTGGTCAACGTAAAGTAGTATATATATACTATAATGGTTCAGTGGTTCTCTAACTGAAATCAGCTCGTAGTCTAACTTGATCCCAATCAGATCATTATAAACATATCAAATGTTTGTTACCTTCCCCTGTTTGTTAGAAATCATGTCTACAAAGCCAAATATGATGTTAAACTTGATAAATATATGCACGAAATAGTTTAGTTATCATTCATATTATTCATGTACCCCGAAAGGCAAAATAAATATATATCAGTTTCAGGTTAATGTTCAAAGTTTGAGTGATTTGTACTACAATAAAAATTCTTTAAATAATACAAATGAGAATTTATACATATATATATATCATTTTAATATGACCACCAGACATTAGTTTAAAGCATTTTAATCTCTTGCTTATGAAAAAAGAAATCAAAAATCACATACAGAATAATATTTTCAAGAATTTGGAATATTAATGGTAGGATTAACTGTCATTGGAATGTGCTCAAAACATGAATCATCCCTTTTGTGTATAGAATCAAATATATATAAGGGTAGTTTTTTGTAGTCAAGCCATTTATCATAATCTTGTAAGTTCAAACATTTTTTATGCGATTAAAAATGACAACATTTAGTAATAATACTAATTACTGATTTGTAACCAGCCACACAGTTCATCCGTTAGTGTTTTTATAAGAGGTCTGTTGTGTGGCTGAAAAACTCTGTGATAAGCTCTATGACTGCACAGCACCAAGTGGCATGGGTTCGAGTTCTCGAAAAAATAACATCATATCTTTCGAGGTTAAGGATATACCCTGGTGATGAGTGTCAGCTAGCTACGAAACCTACTCACCTGGTTTGACGATCTCATTGCAAATCTGACTGATACAGTTCAGTCATTACTAACACTAAAGTATCGACTAATGACACTAGTTGCTTTCTAGTGACCAAGGTGGTTAATAATTTTGTGTATGCAATGGCATCTTTTGTGTGTACTCATGTCACAAAAGTAACAAGACATATAGTGCTAGTAGAATGAAATGAACAGTTGAGTACCGATAAATCGCAAGTGGAGCCAGATAATATCTCTCTGAGGCTAGGTTGCGGAGAATCTGTAGCCCTGATTCAGTACATGAAGTGATCACTCTTCCGAGAAAGAGATTACACGAAGATGTCTACTCCCAAGAACAACAAAGAACACCCTAGCTCTGTGACGGAGATTAGATGCTATACATGAATGTGGCATTTAACGGGGACCTTCTGATCGACACTCTAAAGAAGTGACTATCAATCCTTCTGAAGAGACATTCTTTGCTGTGATATTAAGATTGGTATTCTCCTACCACCCAACATTCTTCTGGGACTCTTAAGAAAAACTATCTCATCTAACCACTTCCATATGCATTTAACGATTCACCCGTTACCATGGAGCGAGGTATATGGCTCTCTTGGCGATTATTTTATCCAAAAATTCAAGAAGCACTACCACGCTTACCTATAGAAATGTCACAGTGGGTCAATAAAGAGTGCTGAAGTTGGATTTATATTCAACACGGACCACTCAACATGTGAGGAAATCTCATTCAAAGTTATATACAAAGTCGAAAGAAGCCCAGCGAAAGTGGTGTGCCTCCGTATACTTTGCATTGCCGAGGAGGCTTTACCGATTTGGATGGAAAAATCTGATTTATGCACACAGAAGAGACATCTCCATCCTCTCCTCTCCTCTCCCAGCTTGGGTATAATTCTAAGCTCAGTACTTTGTCTATTTTCGTATGAAATGTTTTTGACATTATTTAAACCAACCTTTTGTTCACTCTCTCTCTTCATCTACTGCATAATTTACTTCGATAACTGTCTCCATGCTTTTTCACAAGAGCATCCAACTGAAGGTTTTTCACAATACACAACCTTAGTTTAAACGTAATAAACCTTACCTCTCCCTGATTACAGTTTTGATTAATCATCACTGTTTTGAGAATTGTTGGCAACGTAAGCAATAGCATAAATTAATCTTTATTCTTTTTCAACAAACCTAATACCTATATATATATATATATATATATAAAGAAATAATTGTATATAATAGCAATTATACGAGTTAAGTGAATGAATTCTCCGAAAAGAGACTCTCCACTGAGCTGTTTGCTTTTATTTTGATGTCTGAATGGACATTTTTCGTGAATGTAGTAATACTAATAACCTGCTCTACTCCAAGACAAACAATACTTATATAATACAGCATGGAATTCTCAGCATTTGTCACAATATTGCATGTAATTTACTTCAAAGATAAATACAGTTGACCAAAGGAATTTGTTCAAATTTACAGTAGGAAGCGAGTCAACAATGTGCAAAGTACAAAATACGAATAATTACTCTAGTAATAATAACAATAATAACAGTGGGTTTGTTTTAAACAGTATTGTCGATACAGTATGGAAATTTTTAGCATGTTATAGATTATTCAATCTATTGTTCTCTTGATATTACATGGTGAAGGGTGAAACAAAATAAATAACAGCAATAACCTTAAATGATGTTCACACTTATGAGAAAATTAAAAAAAATAAAAACAGTGAGAGGATCATAAATAGAAGAATAATAATAAGAATAAAGCTTGATGGAATAATGATGGAGAAAAATGTTTATTTATTAGTAGAAAGAAGGTTAGTTAGTTAGTTAGTGAGTTAGTTAGTTAGTTGGTGAGTTAGTTAGTGAGTGAGTGAGTTAGTTAGTTAGTTGGTTAGTTAGTTCATCCCTGACACTATTTTCATCACATAAAATACGTGCAAAATATGGGATCGTGGAATTTTTACACCTAAACTTACGTGCATGAAATCTCTTGAAATGACTTCTCGTTTTACCTCAGGCGACACAAGATGAAAACTGCGGTATACGTATAAAACTTGGGCACTGTGGTAGCATATAACTCCATTATGGATTAGATTTTATTTTGATAAATCACACAGTGTGGTACAGTAATATTTACTGATGACATTTAGAGCACAAATTACTGCCCAAACTGCAGGTAGAGTGGATGCTCACAGTCTGACAAAACTCCTTTAGTAAATTTTCTTGCATGAAATAAGGTGTTTATCAATGATGATTTCAACGATATGACCTAGTGGGATACCTATCGCACTACTGACCAACAGCTTTCAAAGTTCTGTGAAGTATGACAGGAAAGAATGAGGGCGAACAGTAAAGAAGAATAGGTGAAATGCAAGAGTTGAAATACTGTAAGAGGAGAGGTTGAGCTATGCCTGAATGCCTTAACCTCTTAATGTAAAAAGTTAGACGGAATATTTTTTAGAAATCGTTAAGAAATGGGAAGACCAGGATAGATCAGAAGGAAGAATAAGTGCAAGTTATTTAACGTTGGACTTGATTTCGATATCACTATTATCAATTTTATAATGGTCATGGGAATTAACAGTTTCATTTCATTTAACTGAAGTTAACAGTCTGACATTTAGAAGGATTTAGTTTGAGACCATTTGCTGACTCCTGATAGAAACCTGGTCATCTTAGTACAGTCCAAGTGCAAGTTGATAGGCAATGAAACAGTTAGATCGTCTGCATACTTAAAAAATTTCATTTCATATAGTAGTTCTTGCCATAATTCCTTTTGATTAAAACGAAGTTGAGCAACTGAAGTTCCCCAGTGGTTCAGTAGCAGAAGGTTCTCCAAGTACGCATATGGTTCGGAAATCGACCCCCAACCAACACACTTCTAAACCTCGCTAAGCCAGTGGTAGAGTCAGTGAAGTGGGAAGGTTGGAAGCCAGACTAGCGACCCCACCCCGTAGAAATGAAAGCACCGCTATCGAAACCTCAAAGCTCTAGCTTGGAGCCCTACGTTCTTTGCGGAATGTAGAGGAATAAAATAACAATGATAATATATTATATATATACATTATGTACATAATACCAGATATATATATTTATAGTACAAGTATGATTCTATGGATAATCTTTTCCTTCTGTTTTTATTCCATTTTTCTAAATATAGGAACAATATTTAAGCAGAAATCCTTTGGGTACAATACCAGTACTGACAAACGATGTGGTATTTGCATTTCACGCCTTCATTATATCCTCATTAACAGCATTTCAAATCTTAATTTATGATGTAAGTAGAAAAGGATATTTTTTGAAAATTCATATTTTTGTATAAAAATTGAATGTTAATTAGTAATATCTTGATATTATTATTGTTTGCTTGAAGTTTGATTACGGTTTGATACCAGTCAGAGAATCAATGAAGGCCAATAGAGAGTACTGGAAAGCTATTTCGTCCTGGTATGGTACTCATCGGGAGCATTTACTCACTGGGTTTCAAACCCAGGACCTACCGCTTAATAGGCAAGCTCGTAGACCATTCAGCTACTGGAACCCGACGAAATGATCTGTATTTGAATTGTAACTCCTGTCACTTAATGATTTTAGCCCAAATGGCACCAGCCAATGTCAACGGAGGGTATTTGTCTTCACTCCATACTGGATGAATCCCACTAGTCACGACATCTCACTAAAATCCCAGGCAACTTTATCCTGCAGGCAGTAACCAGTGGGCATCAGATTAATTTTCAGGAGGATGAAACAACTGTCCAGTACTTGTTTTCAATGGTTCTCTAACTGATATCAATCCATATTCAAGTAAAATGACTACAAACAAATTCTCGGATTTTAATGTTGTTTATGTCTTATGTTCTGAATGTGATGATGGGCTCAGAGGCACATATGAATCCTATTTGGCTCTCTGTTATCACATTCAACTGGCTCTACTACTGCTCACAAGCTTCCACTTCGTCTTCACATCATATTCTTCATGTAACCATTAGATACCCGACCAGCCCAGAGCTCCGGAGCAGTCCATCTCCATTTCCTTTCTGATACAGTTCTTAACTGTTCATCCTCTCTGGCTGGCCATCTAATCTTGGCTATCCAGTGAAGGCAGATGTTGGGAATGTTAACTTCACACCAGAATTAATAATTTTGATCTGGTCTCTTGTACTAAATGTTAAGAACCTCCAGAATGATTTTAAGGGACTGAAAGCCTGTCTAACTTTCCCTACTCCATCTTAGCTTGCTGTGATACTGTCATCCTGGTCCCCTGTGGCTGAAAGAGTACTGCTCAAATGTTTGTTGTTGTTTCTCGGAAATCTTCATCTCCTTTGCCTTCCCTAACTCTTCTACCAGCCTGTTGATTTTCGCTTTTAAATCTGCGAATTTGTGAGACATATGACATAAATTGCCAGTGAAATCCAGATTATCAAGGATTTTTTCCCCATTCAAAGTCTCCTTATCCACGGTCCGTTGTTTGATTCAGTTCAACCACAATGGCGAATACCATCGGTGATGGTAGGTAGTCCTGATTTACTCCATTATTTACGTCAAGGGTTTCACTTAACTTTCCTTTGTGAATTATTACCTGGCATGTGGCATCATCACCACATAGCTGTTTATAGTGGTTTCTGTTACCATATTCCACAGTGTTGAATCAATAATAAAAGCTTTATTCTGAAATAGTACTTTTATTACAAATATGAAATTTCTTAGCGTGAATACAAAAAACTTCGTCTAATTTTCTCACAATATAATTCAGCGGTAATAATTCAACAGAGGGCTCACACTAATAAGTGAGAATAAATTGTTAGATAAGAAAATGAATATAAAATTAAAATTTAGATGAAATTATTAACAAAATGAAAGAAAGAATAAAGAGGGTTGTTTACGGTTAGTCTTTTCGCGATGATTTGTTAGTCTCCTACTGCTTGACACTTCCTTTATCATACAAAATGTGTGTGTGCCAAATTGGGTATTGTAGAGTTTTCAAACTTAGTTGTTTGTGTATATAGTCTTCTATAGTTGCTTCCAGTTCTACTCAATGAGATGTAGCAAGAAAAGAGTTGTATGTGTGTGGAGAGGATGCTCAGAGTCTGACAGGATAATATTTGCTAATTTCTTGCAGATATCCAAGTGTCTATCTACAATAGTATTAACGAGTTGGTTTAGTAACATTCTAATCGCCCTACTGACAGCTTTTAGTGCTCAACGCAGTATAACTAGATCTTTCTTAAGTAGCTCAGGAAAGATTTAGGGGGAACAGAAAAGATGTATAGACAGAATACAAGAATTAACAAACTGTAACAGCAGAGACTGAATGATACCAGATTGTCTTAATTTTCCTACACACAGAACGTCAAGTTAAATATTTTTTTAGAAACTAACATGGTGTGGGGGGGGGGAGGAAAGGTAATCTGAAGAAGTACACAGTCCAAGGCATTTAACACTAGCTTTGGTTTCAACTTCAGGACCATTTATGATAATAGAGTCATACGAAGGAACCAGTTCATTTAAGTCGCACTTACATCTCAAAGTGAAATTAACCACCTGACATTTGGAGGGATTTAGCTTGACACCATTTGACAAGGACCACTGAATTATTTCTGACAAAAAGTTATTCACTTTGGAACAATCATTTTCGAAATCACTTCACGGTGAACGCTGTCGAAGGCCTTGACGAAGTCGCTAAAAGTGAGATAGAGAATTTTCTCCCAGCCTCCGCTCTGTTCATCGGTGATGTGAAACGTAGCACTTCGGTCAGCGCATGGTTCTATTTTAATGAATGAAGCTTATCGTGTGAGAAGTTTTCCATCCAAGATACTTTTAGTCCTTCCAGATGAATATCGAATATAGTAACATTTTATATAGAAAATGAAACTGAGAAGATCTGAAATAGAATAAGTATTCCTCCAACTCATAAATACTCACTCTTTTAAGCCTTACTTAACTAAAAATTATTAGTTTCTGTCAGTTTATGAGCCTCTTAAAGGGACAAATAATTCTCTGATAACGACATCGGTTGAAGAAGAAATAATTCATTTGCCTCATGAATAACAATAATATATCCTTATAAATATAGGTGCTGGGTTCGAGTCTCATGAGCACATGCAACTGATAAGTCTTGTTTACTCCAGCCAAAATGCTCAATACTCAGGACTGGATGGCAGGTAGGGAAGGATATGAAACAAAGGACTCTAGCAATAAAACGTCAAAGAATGCATCGCTCATCAGAATATGCGGAAAAAAGTAGGCGGTTTTATATATAGAAAGAGATACTGAGGAGATCGTGTGAGGAGTAGGTGAAGATTTATGGGTAATTGTGAAGTCAGCTAAAAATAACTGCACAGAACAGGGTAAAATGAAGTGTACTGTTGATTACTCACGATATATCACATTGTCACCCACCCTAATAAAATGCATTCCAATTCTGCTTAGTTTAAAGCAGCATCGATGGCTGCATTTTATCCTTTTCAGTCCATCCGAACTTGAATATTCACTTCTTCTAGCTTCAGTTGGTTATTACTTCTACTTTAATCGCCTCAGAATGAATTATACCAATGGCTAATATGTTGCGGCGGTGGCACAGCGGTAGAATGCTCGACAACCACGCCTCATGCGGCCCAAGGTTTGATTTCCGGCCATAAACGCACTCCTTTACCTCTCTAAACTAGTAATATGATTGGTGAAGAGGGAAGGTTGGGCATGAGGCCACTGCTACCGAAACTTCAAGCCTCTAGCTTGAAGCACTATGGGAACCTAAGGGAATAAAAGAAACTGTCTAATGTTGTGTTTAACTCTTAACTCATCGAAGGAAGTAGACACATGTAGCTGATAAGATTCAGTCGTAATCTTACTCTTCATTACTAGTTGTTTAGCTAAAATTAAACGAATACATATATATACTACTGATTGATGAGTAGTGAGAGATGTATCGAAGTGATGCAAATACCAGATGGCTGTTTCTGTAATTTGCGGTCGCGTTCATCAACAGTGTACCCGATCTGACTCAACCCAAAAACAGCAGAGTCATTTCCAGCCCCTCATCGATTTCTCTCTAGTCACATATAAGCGAACTGATAACACTGGCAATAAATGAAATTGGCAATTTTGTGCAAATCGTGAATTTGATTTTTATAAAATTACACAACACATGACACCTTTTTCTATCTATCTATCTATATATATATATATATACATATATATATATATATAAGTTACAAATTCCTAAGCAAATTTATCACCCTTCATCTTCTTAAATGAACCGATATTTCACGGGGTGATTTCTGAAAAACTCACCAGCGCGTATAGGAGCGCTGTCGGGCACACGCACACACGCACTCTCACACACACTCACAAACGCATACAACAAGCGTTGTCAATAATTTATTATTAGCACTAGTTATTTTCAATTTATATCAGTGTAACTTTGGTTTTTTTATTTACTTCTTGTTATTACTAATCAAGGTTCAATAATGACTTTATATATATGTATATTTTTAATCTTTATTTGAAAAGACAGAGAGGGCAAAACGAAATGGTGATACATAACTGAAAAAATATCTTAGAGCATGCATGTTTGACTTTGGTTTTAAGCAAACATTCAAGCTACTAATCGTACTAGATGGTGTCACTTCAAAAAAACATTGTTATATTTGTGAAACTAGATGAAATCAGAGGTCCACCCTTCTGTAGAGATGTGTATGTGAGAGAGAGAAGTTAGAGTTAAATTCTAACCTCAGCCTATTGACTATCGTATGAGTAGTATTTTGAAACTAAAAGTGATGACGATAAGTGGATTGTGGTCAAATGAAATTAACTTAGCTGGAATATTTATAAGTATTATTCCTTTGGGTTCCAAGTGGAATATACGGCTTCAGCAGTCCCGTCTTCGGCAGTCCTCTTCAGCTGACCCACGATTACCAATAGACTATTATCTCCCCCTCACATGATCTCCTCCATGCCACCCTGCTCTGACCCTAGGCCAAATCATCGTCTCATATTTGGCTTCCATTCGACGGCCGGGAACGTGGTGTCAATCAACGGTCTCCTCAGTGTGTGTCCAATCCATGTCTAACTCCTTCAGAATATTTGTTGAGCAGTTTGTTTCTCATTGATTCATTCTCAGTGTTTCTTGTTGCTGATTGTTTTTGGCCGGCCATCTGATCCTCAGTATAGAGCCAGAGAAGGCAGCTGTTGATGAAGTTCTGATGTCTGTTGAAAATGCTTTTAGTAACGCACCACCAAGTTTGTAACGCATACAGAAGAAGTGACATAACATTGCTTCTGAAAATGAGAATTTTGTTCTTTATACTAAGTTCAGCAGATTTCCAAATTGATTTCAGAGTGATGAAGGTATACCTTGCTATTCCGATCCTAGTTTCGCCATCGGCATCTGCGATGTCTGCAGTTGAAATGATTCTGCCTAGATAAATGAATGAGGAGGCCTCTTTCAGATTTCACCTGTTGATAGTGATTGGCTCTTGTTGTCGTTAGTTGGTTATTGCTCTCATCGCTGTCTTCCCAATGTAATAAATATATGTGTATAGACACACCAATTAGGCGTTTGAAAGTAACATGGAGGGGATTGTGTGTTAAGGATAACGTTTATGGGCAGTTATGATGCCAGCTAGAAAAGATAATAGAAAGAAAACACAGTGAAATGATGACATCCTGCTGAAGCTTTATGTCTCTTCTTCGGAACCCAAGGGAATAATAATAAATGCGAGCACCACGTCATTAGATTAAATCTGAGGTTGAAAATCGTGGTTTTTATGTTTTTAAAATCTTAGCTTTAATATATATCAAAATTTATATCAAAATTATTTAGTACTCAAATAAATTAGGCTGACTGCAGCTTACTGCTCATCTTGTTCTCCAGTCTTTCTGCTAAAAGCCGTTGGGTCTTCTGAAATGCCTAATGATGAAAAGGTCAGTATCCACAGTACTCAGACACAAAGAAACAGTATCAGAATTATCAACAGAGGTATTAAGTCAGTACTCCTATATGTAGTTCTGAGACTTGAAGTAAGCATCACTATAAGCACTTGTGTTTCTCAAAGAACACAATCAAATCAGAAAATTATATATATATATGCTGAAGAAAAATTCAGACAACACCAACTAATTGAGAGGTTGTCAACTGGAACTCAAAATGGAAGCGAAAAGTTTGACATCCCGATGTGAAATAAAGAGAAACATGTTAAGAGGAAATTAACGCCAGTGGACAGTTGTTTAGCCAAGTCATATTGATAGAAGTAGACTGAGTAGAATGAAGGTGGGCAACTGAAGTCAAGCGTTAGCATTATATCGAGGTGTGTCGGTGGCGCAGAGGTAGAATGCTCACCAAACACGCCTCATGTGGTCGGGGGTTCGATACCCGGCCGACGCCGCACTCATTTATCTCGCTAAGCCAGTAATAAGACTGGTAAATAGGGAATGTTGGGCATGAGAGGCTAGCGAACACAGCTCGTAAAACGTAGCATCAGTGCTGCCAAGACTTCAAGCCTCTAGCTTGAAGCCCTGTGTTCCACTGGGAACGTAATGGAATAAAACAAACTACATGGAGACATCTCATATATTAGAACAAGACATATAAGCGAACAATATTGTCTTCAATTAGATCTTCTTCAGGCTTTACTCTAATTTACATAGATTTATACATAACAATTTTAAACAATGACGGTGATTTTGCGGATCAAATAATAATAATGTGGTAAATGTTTTGAACGTAGTTAATAACGATGATTATAATGATAATAAAATATTGATAATAAGGTTTATGCAGGTGGCGATAAGAATAGGAAAGGTAGTAATATGTGTATACGTAGACAATTCAATAAATAAATTAGGTCAAATCTTAAAAGTTACTTAATACTAAAGGTGAAGTGGACAGATAATCAGAATTTAAATAAATATCATAAAAGTACGAAGGAGGTGGAAAATAAGAAAGGGTGGGAGGGTTCTGATTAAAATTCACCTAGGCAAGCAAGGGAGAGACAAAGGTAGAACAAACTTCTTTTGTATGCAAAGACTAGGATTGTTCTCTCGAATTCCCATGGCTTCGGCTATGTGTAAAAGACGTGTTCTGATTCCGTTCGAAAGGCTCGTTGGAATGCGATAGATAACTTTGAAGGCACTATTTTTGTCCACTTGGTGACCACTATCAATCAAATGAGCCAAAACAGAATTTCTTATAGATTTTATTTGATCTTTTCCGAACCATGAAGGAAGATGCTCATTAATGCGTTTCTTAAGCTGTCTAGTTGTTCGCCCTATATTGCTATCTCCATAGGAGCAACTAAATTTGTAAATACACATAGAAGTGGCACAGCTAGGCAGCTTGTCTTTCGCTTGAGCAATCATAATTGGTAGGGTGGAAAATGACAAACAAAGGGTGGCGGCGATATAATTCCGTTTTATTGCTCTCGATAATCTCAGATTTAAGACTTCACTAGCCATGTCCCCATCTAATTTCAATTTCATGAACAGTTGTTTCACGAAATCCTTGACTGTTGATCTAAGTCACCTAGGATAAGCGATGTTTTTGTCCCGCCTGAAAATCAGTAGCTGCAGAATCTTAGCTATATGCCGCCAAATGTTGTGTTTACACGTATTCAATCTCTAATAAATTTCTCTAGTACTTTTATAAAAAAACATTTTTGCTAATTACCAACGGCTTAGTTTTTACCTCACGTGTATATTTCTATACTTTGATGTTTGTTTATTTTTGGGTTCTTCTCTTTATGATGTGATGTACTTCTATGCAGAGTACTTTCTTTTGTTCTCACCAAAAAGGAGAGCATCGACTGCTCCGTTTTACGCACGTTTTTGAGTCTTCTAATAAACATGAATTCAGTGATTTATTTTTTTTACTAGAGCAGAAACACAGAACAAGATGCCAGGAAGTATTATAAGAAAAAAAACACAACATTTCTAGTCAGCTGGTCCACCTATTAATATTTCACGTTATGACATTCTCTGTCGCTGTACGTCATTAAACAGAATAAAGGCTGTGTTTATCAATTATAGCCGGATTAAAACATGCAAGAGATTAGAAAACTGTCATATTGACAATAACTAAGAATGATTAGAGCTTATTTAACTTAACTTTAAACGATAGAAGTTCTTACTACGTGTTTGTGCTTTAAACGATGTATCAGTAATTCGCATAATTATATTGTTATTGTTACATACTGGTTCTTTGGGTTCTGAGTGGAATATAAGGCTTCATCAGTACATGAAGTCAGTGAAGGCAGCTGCTAATAAAAGTTTGAAGCCTGTTCGATTTGGTTCTGCTGATACGTTAACATCTGTATACCATTCAGGAGAACTGGATTGATAATAATGTTTAAAATATTAATCTTGTTCACTACGCTGAGAGCACTGGATTTCCAAACTGGTTGCAGATTAATGAAGGTTTGTCCTACCCTTCAGATTCCGACTACGACATCCTGATCCGTTTTCTAACTACCTGTAGTTGAAGTATAATACTGCCTAGATAAGTGAAAGAACTGCCCTCTTCCAAATTTCTCCCACTGACCGATAGGTCTTCGAACTGATATGTCAATGGACACAAATCATCCACGAAGTCTAAATATTCCACAGTCTCCTTATAGGTCCAACTTTTTCCGACTTTTCTCCGTCAACAGTCTGCAGCAACCAGGAATAATAATAATTAATGATAGTTGGCAGCCTTATCCTTCATATAGGAATAATTTATTGATTTAGAATGACAACTGGAATGAGTGAAATAATACCGGGGACAGTTCAAAGTGAGGATAGTTATAGTAACAAGTGACTTAATGAAGGAAGAGTATATAAATTGAGTAAACAAAACGAGAATATAGGTAGAGCTAAAATATGATCAGGGATTACTGCTCAATAACCTGAAGGACAAGATCCAGCTGTTCACCGACTCTATACGCTTTTATCAATTCACCTGCTTGTGTGGAGCAAGGTATATCGGTCGTTCGACTCGTGTTTTGTCCAAGACAATGCAAGAACACTATTCTGAACGGTTACAAAGAGGTGGAAGCAGAGCAATGAGGAGTGCAATCATTCGAAATCTGGTCGATAATGATCACCCTACTTCTATAGCCTCCACCTTTAAAGTCCTCTCTCCACAAGGCGAAAAGTACTTTGCCCAAATCACTACGTATCCAACTCATCTGTAATACTGAAGCTTTGGCTGTATACATAAAAAGTTCATTTAACCCCGTCAACTTTCATGGTCTTAATCCTTCCTCAATGTCAAAGTATGATAATCCCTAATCATATTTTAGCTCTACCCATTTTTCGTTTGTTTATTCAACTCGTAATCTCTTCCTTTATTACGAATAATTTGCCCTCAAACCTCGCTAATAATATTACTACCACTCTTGCACTGACAACTAGTCACTATAATCAGTGCACAGTGATATTAACAATAACAATATAAACACAGAAGTACAAATCGATAAAAAGTTCTTCTTTTTCTTATATCTTTGCTTTTCTTTCTTTTTCCTCTTGTATTCCTTTTTTAGCGTGGTGACCAGCGTGTCTCTAAATTGTGCATAGGGTTAATAATTCTGATCGCAATATATACAATCATTGTGTGTATAATAGGTGGTGCAAATGTTGTACAATGGTTGGATACCTTCTATCTATTATCTCATGTGAAACTAGTCATCTCAATTGTGAAATATACACCTCAGGTAAGATATGAGAGTAAATCTGTTTTGTTTTATTTATTTATTTTTTCTTTGCTTGATTTCCAGTTTTTCTACATTTTACTCCTTTCCACTTTTTAAGTCGTTGTTTTGGTGACTTTCACTGTGAATAACACAATTAGATCGTGTCAATGAAAAGAGAAGAGTTTCGGAATGGCTGTTTCATCCCACCTAGCTTTGAGTTTTTCATCAGTGCACGAGCTCGTGAATTCATAGAAGAAAGAGCCCTTAGATCACTGAATTATGACTCAGTAGCTAAATAGTCTAATGTACCGTTGGCTAGTTACCTTAAGCTCCTTAGTGTATGGTCTGTTGTGAGATTTGTAGAGCGCGTTCACAGCTGATCAATAGCAAACCAGAGTGAAAATACTGCTGTCCAATTCTACATTGAGGTGTCTAATTCTTTCTTTTACTTGATACTTGATTTACTTTACATGGACTTGTTTTGGAGAGGGAATGGATAACATATTTTTGGCAGTTACTTTTGTAGAGAAGCAGGAGTAAAATGCTTGGCAGTCTGTCTGTTGTACTTATTTTCTAGTATCACTTTGTTATTGTTCCACTTTTTTATGTTATTTTATGAAATATAGTTACTAGAACTGGTGCACTTCTATGCATCGTAGTTCCTCCTCGACTTACGAAATAATAGAAAACGCTTAGCGAAGGAATATGAAACTACATTAGTATTTCAGTCTGCGTTCTCTTAGTGCGAAAGCCAGATACAGGATTATTCTTATTCGTTCGGCCTCCGAATGGAACCGAGCGCTTCAAATTCACACATTCATTTCATTGTGTTCTCTGCCCTCAACATAATTACTCTTTGAGCTTTCATTTCTTCCTGGTCACACGGTATCTTTCATGTCATCGTCGAACCCACACCCATCCGGTCATTCCCTATTCGGGAGGCTCGCCTAGTGCCTGATGTTACTCAGCCGTTGCCTTAGAGTATGCATGTCCAATTGATTTATATTTCCTTCGGGATAATTGCTCGGTAATGTGTTGTTTATTGGTTCATTGCTTGCTTGAGTTCCTCGCGGCTAATTCTTTTTGGCCATTCCATATTCATTGGTAAGCCAGAGGAGGCGGCTTTCAATGAGAGTCTGCAGTGACTTGTCAGAAGTGATTTTGTATTGACGCAATAAATCTCCGAGATAAGACTAGATGATAGGTTATGTTTTTACATTGGACTGTCAGTGTGTTTCATGTCTGTGAAAATAAATACTTCCAGAAATAGCTTACCTTCTGATGACTTTGCGAGTCCCTAACAATTAGGAGGAGTGAAAAATCACGAATCTTTTTCTCAAATCTGTCACAGTGAAAAAGTGAAGACTGTGCAATTCAACAAGTGTTCTTCTAAGTCATTGGAGGTAATATAAACAAAATACTCCTTCTCTTGATACGCACACTTATGCTTTTATCCAGCGAGTGATAGCAGGCCAGAAAAAATGCTCTCAAGCATAAAGTACAATCAATTTGTCTGCTGGAAAGAATTATTTCTCTTGAGCCACCAGATATATAGACACTATAATTCGTGCAATCAGCCGAAGTTTGGTGCCAGTAATACATGCGTTTTTATTACTTATATTTCCAGATGTCAGGCTTTCATCTGCTGGTACGCACACAGCAAAGTTGTCTTTCGAATGATATAATTTTTTGTTTAGCATGTCACACTATCTTAGAGAAAAGAACTTTACTATTTCAGTCTAATATCAAACCAATAGAAATGATAGTCAAAATTTAACATGTGGTCATAAAGCTCCCATAAACGACCTCGTGTGGTCAGGTGTGGTGGATGGACTTCGATCCTCTTCTCGAAATGCACTCAAGTGACTAGTCGTTCATAGCCTTCACAGGACACTGGTGTTCCTCACAAAAGCGAATGGGCGAATACAAGCGCCTGACGTTTACAACTGGATGGGTGACATATAGGTCTACCTAAAGGAGCTAAAAAAACTAAGGTGTACATGGGTCTCAGAATCCGAATGGGTCGAATGGTGTATTAACCTGTTTAGACACCGGTAACCGTGGGAACCAACTGTTCCTGATGCTGTTCCACTGTTTTTGGATCAGGCTTCAAGTAAAAGGTTTGAAGGAGGGGGGAGATTAGCCCCTTGAAACAACCGCATGCTTCGGTGTAGGTGCCCTGAGAGTATTCAAGCTCTGCCACAAACTGTCAGATTTTATATAGCTCATCTTTTTGTGCCAGTAATATTCCAAGTTTGTTTCAACTTGATATATAGTGTGATCGTATTATCTAGGCTACACTGGTGACCTTCTGTTAAATAGCGTAGGTAAGCGAAAATCTGTTGGATTATCCTATTTCGATGCAGTTCCAGCATGTACTGGTCAGTTTCTAGCATATGATAAGACCAAAAACGGGACATAACACACCATGTCCAAGTATGACACGACTGCGTGAAATTCCAATTGAAGGTAAACAATTGTCTGTTAGAAATGATGGAGAGGACTTCTAGTTCAAATCTTGAAATAATTTCATCAGAATTATGAGAATATCTGCGGTATTTAGACCAAAAAGCGGGAATTGTGTAACATTCTATGTGGTTATAAGCTTAAAGGCGACTTTTTCATTTCATTAGTTACATAGAAATGTAATATGCGGACAGTGGATTTGATTTTTTCAAATGTTATTAACACAAAAATTCATTGAACGAATTACAATCCGCAATAAAATTCTAGCCTTAGTGAGTCATCAAAGGTAAAAATTAGTATATATGCATATTTACCGTTTAGCTTATAAGATAGTCTAAGATGCCTTGTTTCCTAAACAGTGTCCAACAATCTACTTTATGGATTCCAGACTATCGCTAATTCAAAATTTGCAATATTTTATATCTTCACGTCCTAGTGACCCAAATCTATGCCTATATATCTCTTACTGTGCAGATCTTAGTCAGCAGAGAGCGAACAATGTCATTTGCTCATTTCTTTTTATTAGTACAGAAGAAAATCTATCAGTCAAGTTTACATTGTCGTCACCAAGTTAGATAACTTGCAGTACTGGTCAGCAAAGCGCGTGCAAATCTTCCCAATGGAACTCACGCTCACTGCATCTACTTCGCCTAGTACTAGAGTCAGAGATATTAAAACAGGAATATGCTCATTTAGCTTTACAAATAACTAGGATCTAGACACGTGATCTTCGTTAATCCTTTGTGATAGTTCAACGGCAACTTTCACAGTTCTACAGGAAGTCAATCGAGAGACTGAATCACTCTAACTGTAGCATTGAGTATTGTGTATTCGAGTCTCATAGTTGATATCAGTTCCTTTGAGGTTACAGACACACCTTATCGATGAGTGTCAGCAATCAAGACGCCTAATTTATACATAAAATATTTTACCTATCACCTTCAACCACTTAATATTAAATTCGGAGTTTGTGATTTTTCATAGATATTGTCACGATTCTCCATCCATCAAGAAATGCACAAGCAACAAGTAGTGTCAGTATGGATTTTCTTAAGCACCAGCATCAGTTAGAGATTATTAGAAACCTTCAGGAATCACTGGACAACTGTCATTTTTCTAGTTTGGCACTCTTCAATATTGTGAACTTATGATCTAACCAGGGAACGAATCTGCTATCTTCAGGTTACGACGACAAGTTCGTTGAGCATTTAGCCACTCGAGTGGGACTTCAGTGGCCGGTGAAATCTGACCTCTGTCAACTTGTAAAGTAGCATTTTGCGCCAACCAGTTTCACGAGTTGCCGAGTGTCAGCGCAGGTGGTTAAATGGGTAACGATCTTGATCTTGTGCCTTGAAGGTCCCAGATTCGATTCAGAGTAGGTTTGTGAGTGTAAAGTGTTGCAGGGTTTCGAACTAAGACAAAACAGATGTCCAGTGCTCCATGAAGGTGTTGAACGCCGTCTAACTAATGTTGGTTCATCAGAAGATCGACAGTGAAATTATTTCCGAATTCTCATAAAAAAGCCTATAATCTTTATTGTCTGAAATCTATATGTCACCCACTTTTACGCATCATTTAAAAGAAATAATTCTGTGATTTAATGCACTTTAAGATGGTTGTATTTATTATTATGGAATGAATAATGACGTTTACTAGATTATAATTGTTTATCTTTATCTTCTTATGTATGATCAAAGAAATCTACCCCCAGTGGATTTCTATTCGCCTATAACTTAAAGTTCTTATCATCATAATTAGAAATTATCTGGAAATTATGTTAAAGATTCCAGGTTTATTCATCTCAACAAAAAAAAATCACTAATTTTACGCATGACAAGATTGTCGAGTATTTAAGCGGTCATGTGAATTCGTTGTCTTTAGCTCTGTTCTGTTCTATAAGTAGTTACAACATACAGAGACTTTTCATTTGTATTGATTAACTAACTTACACAATATCAGAATATAATTAACTGACTGACTACTGGATCATATGATCATACAATCGCCAGTGTATAATTTCATACAGGTTGCATGGATGATGTTGATGATGGTGATTGGACATACGATAGTGTTACTTAGATATAGTTAAAACTTTTGTCATTGGCAAGTGTTACATTCGGTGAATAATTATGCAAATGATATATATGAGTGTTACTCGAATGAATGTCTGTATTTGATTACACTATGTACTAATGAATAGGCCATGGTGTAGCGGAGAAGTTTTATTTCACTAGTACTAATAGTAGTATAGAAGCAGGACACAGTTGTATAATATTGGCAGAATTATTTATTGCCAAATTTATATATAAATATGCATCACAAGGATCTTTTATTTCTCCTTTTTGTCATCTAATCTATTCCTTCACTATTCAGTATTCTAGCGGAAGACACCGAAAACGCCGCTCAATATACTACTGACGAAATCAGTGTGAGTAGCACTAACCTCAGTAACAATAGTAGTCGAGACAGATTCGATTCTTAGGCTTTTTCTATTCAGCGTTAAGTACACCTCTTAGCATGGAAATCACTACAGACTGTTGCAGTAGATCTCCGTA